CGGGGACCCGCAGCGCTTCCTTGTGCCGCCCGCCTTGGGCCTGTTGGTGGCCGCGGGCGTGGCCAGCGCGGCGCTCTTGGTGGTCCACGCGCGACGCCGTGGCTCTGGCCGGGATACTGGGTCTCGCTTGCTGGCTGAGACCCCGGAGCCGTCGGTCCACGGCCCCCCGGATGCTCTCAACAACCTGCGGACGCCGGAGGGACCCGGGGACCGCTCGAGGTAAGGGCGGGGCTGCGGCTCGGGTCCGCGCCGCGCCTGTTCTGCTGGCGCCGTTGCCCGCCTCGCCGGCTGTGGGGTCCCTTCCGTCGTGCGTGGGGAGAGCCGGGTGTGAGCTCTCGGCGTCTGCATCTCCCTCTTTTCCTCTCGCAGCCCGGTGGCCGCCTGGAGTCCTCCCGAAGGCGGAGACGCGCGCGCGCTTCACTCGCCCTCGGCGCCTTCGGTCTGCGCTCGGGAGGTAGCCACCGCCCCCGCCCACCGTCGCGCCCCCTCCGGCACGCGGGGCCGAGGCAGCCCAGCTTTTCGGGCGCCCGCCTTGGGTTGACGCGCCGGGCAGCGTCTGGGCGAGCCGCGGCTCCACCTTGCGCCCGCCCGGCCCCGCGCCCGTGCGCCTCTCCCGAGCGTCGCGCGCCCCTCTTTTGGCGAGACCTGGCGCCTTGACGAGGCGGCCGGGAGCCTCGGCAGAGCTCGTCCGGTCCCCACTGAGCGGGAGAGGGCGCGGAGGGGCAGGGCAGCCCTCCCTAATGCCTGCTCCCGTCTCGTTTCCAGGCCTGACCTGCCCCCTCCTCAGATCCTGTTTGTATTTTTTCGGTGGTGCCTGAGCGCTCCCTGCGGACACTGTGGAGGTGAAGCGCCGGGGGTGGCTTCCAGCGTCCCTGGACAGCTAAAGACTCAGCCGGGACTGCTCAGGCTGGGTGCTTTGGAGTTGGTATTGGGGCAGGGGAGGGATTTGTGTCTCCAGAGAAGAGTCGAATTCGAGAAACAACTGTTTTTAAATAAGATCATGAATTAAAGTGAAGAATTTGAAGGCAGGTGTAGCTTCAGCCGGGCGACTGTCCCCGCGGAACTTAAGTCTGACGCCCAATATCAGCGCAGTGGCTGCTGCAGGGCATAAAAGAAATTTGGAGAAAGCAAGGCCTGCGCGTGCTGGGTCCAGATCCTGGCGGCCCACTGCTGTGGCCAGGTCCCTTCCCCTCCTGGTACCTCATTTCCCCATCTGTCGAATGAGAATAACGACAGACTGCCTCAGAAAGTTCTGGGCACTGAAGAAGTGAAAGTTTTGCACAGCACTTCTGTAGCGGAGGCTGGCAACTCAGTAAATGTCAGTGCTCAACATTGTTTTTGGAAAAAAGCCCATCTCACCCAGGGGCAGACAGCCCAGAGAGGGGAAGACACTTGCCTAGCGTCACACAGCAAACCGGGCGACTTTCGTGATATTCTTGATGTTGGGGTTCAGTGAGTGCGGCCTTGGGTTAGCTCTGAGAAGAGTTTCAGCTGAGTTCCTGTGGGTTTTCCCAGAGGACAGAGGTGTTTGGCTCCATGCGGGGAGGTTGGATGTATGAGAGGAACGGAAGGGAGAAGAACATGGCTGTGCAGAACCAGTGGGCAGAGTCTTTGCCAGTGCAGAAGCTAGAGAGCATGTCCCTGGGGGGCCTTAGCTTTGTGGATTGTTACCTGTTGTTGCATTGGTTATTTCTAGGGTGTGACTGGGGATTTGTGAGTACCAGGACTCTGTCTAAAGGCCCCCCCCGCCCCCCGTTTCCACCTGCCCGCCGATGCTCTGCACCTGGCCCTTTGCTACAGTGGCCCGATGCTTGTCAGGGCAGTGGCCGGGAAAGGTTTTCATTCCTGGAGGTGGCTTGCCTTGGTCTCCTCCTCATCTGTACCCCACCGCCAGCGTGTGATCCTTTGACGCCTCCACCCCCAGTCTTGTCTTTTTACTGGGCATTATTCACCATTATTCCCGGTTTTGGAAACCCAGGCCCAAGGCAGGGTCCCCGGGGTGGGGAGGCGCCCACGCATGAGTCCACGGAGGTCTGTACTGGACCCGAAACAGTGGCCCAGGGTGTGGTGTTGAGCCCTGTGCTGACATGAGCTGCTGTTCCCGGGGTGAACCTTACACAGATGGCTGTATTGTTTTCCTCGGGCTGTGTGTGGTCAAGTTATTTGAAAAAATCTCAAGGCAGATAGGCACTGAGCACCTACCCGGGCCAGGCGTGTTGCAGGAAGTGGGGCTCCAGGTGCTCTGCACAGCACGGGCTCAGTGGGGTGAAGCCCTCTGTGGCGAGGTTACGCTCCCACGCCCCTCCGCCCGCCGGAGAGGGAGTTAATTCCTGAGGTTGATGAGTGGTAACCAGGAGTCACAGACGTTTTCCACACAAAATGCATTTATAAATCAGACTTGATTTATTAACATCTATGAAACGAGACCCAGAGGCCAGAGTCCGCCCGGGAACATGTGCGGCCTCACCTGGCCGGTGCTCAGCTGCCCTGTGACAGAGGAGCAGGACACTGAGCCCCCGCTGCCTGTAGGCTCAGGGAGTGACCCTGCAGGCTCCTGAGTCCCCTCACTGAGACTCTGCCCCAGCCCCCCCAGCCCTGACCCTCCCACCCCCTTTGTCTTACCTGGTGTGCATGTTTTAACTGCGAGGGAGCCTCGCGGGACCAAGGCTTTCCTCATCACAACTCTGTCCCCAGGGCACACAGCGAGCACTTGACTGCGGGTGACTGTGGCACTGGGCGGTCAGTGCGACGGGGTGGGCGGGAGAGGAGTGTGGACCAGCGTCCTGCCCCGTCCCAGGCCACCGCGGTGGAACCCGAGCTGGAGTGGAACTCGGTGTAACAGTGCCCCCTTGTGGTCACCTCCCGTTTAGAACCCCGAGGCGGGAGACACTCTCCCCACCCAGGGGAGGAGGGCGGGGCGGGTCCCGACCCAACCCGGGTTATCCTGGGGGCTCCTACCCCTATCCCCTATGAAAAACCAGGCTCGAGCCCCAGCCCGTACCCCAGCCTCGGTCCGGACTTCCATCCCGATTCGGACCACCACCCCGGGCTTGACACCACCTCGGTCTGGCGCTCCCACCTTCGTGGGGCCCCGCGCTCGGATCCAGACCCCGACTTCGCTCCCGCCCGCGACGGTAGCCCGGTCTCCAGTTTCCGTCCGAGCCCCGGCTCCGTTCCGGGCCGCGACGGTAGCCCGGTCTCCAGTTTCGGACCGGACCCCGACTTCGCTCCCGCCCGCGACGGTAGCCAGGTCTCCGGTTTCGGTCCGAGCCCCGACTCCGTTGCGGGCCGCGACGGTAGCCCGGTCTCCAGTTTCGGACCGGACCCCGACTTCGCTCCCGGCCGCCGCGGTAGCCGGGTCTCCAGTCCGCGTGCGGGCCGCCGCGGTAGTCCGGCCTCCTAATTCGGGCCGGACCCCGGCTTCGTTCCCGGCGGCGACGGTAGCCCGGCTCCCCGATCCCATCCCGACCGCGACTCCGACCCCCACGTTCCCTCCCGTCCGGCCCCTGGGTCCCGTCCCGACTGCCCCTGCGTTCCCGACGTTTGCTCCCGTCCGGGCCCCGGATCCCCACCCAACCGCGACTCCGTTCCTGACGTTCGCCCCCGTCCGGCCCCCCGATCCCGCCCCGCCCGCGACTCTGTTCCCGCCGTTGGCTCCGGTGCGCTCGCTGGACCCCGCGGCGGCCGGGAATCCGGTCCCAAGTTCTACTCGGGTTCTGGTCCCGTCTTGGACCCCGACCGTGGTGGTCTCCCCCTTGGAGTCCTTGTCGAGCGTGAACGTCTCTTTAGCCGGCCCCCCCGAAACGCCTCCGGAACCCATTGTGCCAGCTGATAAGGCTTCCGCGCACACGCCTCCGGGGGTGAAGCCGCAGCCCCCGGAGCTGTATCCGGCGCCCGCAACATCGGTGACCGAGCTGCTGGGGTCCGCGCTGGTGCACACGTCCCGGTCGGCCCTGTCGGTGGCGTCGCTTGCCGAGACGACTTCGGTGATCGGGGTCCCCGCCTTAGCCTCGACCAGCAGGAGCTTCGATGACAGGAAGGTCCAGATTAGAGTGGTGTACTGGTGAGTCTCCGGGCACCGGAGGGGGGAAGAGCGGGGGGTCTTGGGGTGGGGAAGTGCGTTTGTTTGGGGGGCTTGGGCGTGGGGGAGGACGAGGGGGTGCTTGGGGCACGGAAGAGTGCAGTGTGAGTATTGAGAGTGTTTGCAGCCTGGGGTGCTAGTGTTTGGGGTGCAAGTGTTTGGGGTGCGAGTAAGCGCCAGGGTAAGCAAGTTAGCAAGTATGCTTGTATGCTTGTATGCTAGTAAGC